TGAGTATTCAGAACAACTAAAACTAGGCACTAGTAAAGAATACTGGTTTTGCTGAGGAGGCGAGTTGAAGAGAAGGGAGCAGCAAGATAAAAAGACATTTCTGAAATAACCCTCGTGGTGAAGAGGAGCATCCCTGACAAAAAATGACTCAGACTCTTGTTCTTTTTTCCATTTCCTTCCTTCCCTATTGCTGCTGACAGACTGAGGTGAGGCTTTATACAGTTTTTTTGCAAATAAGATTTAGGGACCTTTAGGAAGTTGGTTCTTTTTCATGTCTGTAAAAGTTTTTGGTGAGTTGTTGCTCCCGCAGATGAGATTAGGATTTTGTTTGGATGTTTTTTTCCTGTAAAGGTTAATGGTTCAGTCTGCACAATAGCCATGTGTCTTGTCAAAGTGACCTTGAGCATGGCACCAAGCATATAGCTGCTGCCATATTGTAAGCCATCAGGTTTCTCAAACATAATGGAAAAGCAGAACAGGAAATCAGAATAGTGCAGCTAGCGTTCGGCAAGGGCCAAGTGTATTCTCCAATAAAGTTAAGACTAGTTCGATTTTTCATGACTTTCTCAATGTTTTTGCAGTGTAATATTATATATATTATATTATATATGTATTATATACATAGGTCCAAACAGCACCAGCTGAAATTAATGTAGAGTATACAATGATTTATATACAATTGTAATCTAATTACTATTTTTGTAACACTGGTAACTGGTTGACATTTTTTCTACCTCCTTGCCTAGAATAGTTTTCTCCTGGGTTAGGCATGGGGCAAGGGGAGTAAATGGGGGTCTTGCAGAATATTTATGCTCTTATCTCTTCGTTCGAAGCCCTGGGGCTCCACATATCTATTTCCATGTCTCCTCCCCTGCCTCCTTCTTCTCTCTTCCTTTCTTTCCTTCTTCTCTCCGTCTATCTATCCCTCTCTTGTTCTTGTCTAAGGGGGTCAGAGAGGAAGACGGTCAGACAGGGAGGGGATGTTACTGATGCTCTGTTACTCACCCACACAGACATCTGCACACACACACACACACACACACACACACACACACACACACACACACACACACACATACATGACCATGCACAGCTGAACTTACTTGTTGGCCCAGCAAGCTCAGTGGCTCAAATGAGAACAAACACGCACACACAAACACACACTCTAATGTCCGCTGTAATACAAACACACTCAAAAGCGAAATCTTTTGACTCTAATGGACACACACAACACGCACGCACACACCCACGCATGCACACACTTGGATTGATAAGACATACTGAAGAGAGAAGCGAAAAAAACACACCCCTCCTGGCACCCACATGCTCAGAGCCCAGCAGAGAGCGGCGAGCAGGGTGGAAATTCTCATGAAAGGAGTTGTATATTTGGAGAAGACATATCATTAAGATAGGCGGAGGGAAGAGGGAAGGGAGGGAAGGATGCGCCGAAACTTTCCATCTGCTCTTTTAAAGAACATGTTATTGCTTTTCTCACTAAAGGCCTTTCTCTCTCTTTCTCTCTCTCTTCCTCAACCCGCTGAACCACAGCCAAAGGCCGTTAAGACACCAGAATCACTCACAGACAATATTAAAACTGGGCGACTTGTTGCTGAGCGAGAAACTAAATCACAGTGTTTTGACAGATAGGAGCTAATTTGGCGGTTTAAAAAAAAGGAGGACAAAAACAGTTTTGATGTTCTGGCTTTCTGGCCATCTTTTTCTGGTAACTCTCTCATTAAGTGTGTGTTATTTTGTACTTGAAAACTCTGGCACATGTAGCACTTTGTATTAGGGACGGGATGCAGTGGTGGAAGAAGTTTTCAGGTCCTTTAGGTAAATGTAAAAACAAACCAAAATATAAAAACACTCAGTCACAAGTAAAAGTCCTGCATTCGCAATTTTCCAAAGTATAAGTTGTGTTATCAGCAAAATGTACTTAACGTATGAAAAGTAAAAGTACTCATTATGCTGCAAAATGGTCCCTGCAGTGTTATGTAATCATATTATTATTATTACTGATTCATGTGTAAACAACATTTTAATATTGTAGCCGATGGTGGTGGAGATAATCTTACCAATTTTATACACTGTTGGGTAGTTTATTCTGTAAACATTAATCATATTATAAGAAATAATAACAGGAATTATATTGTTATTATCATAAGAAAACAAAATTTTAGTTATTTCCGTATTAAGTAAATATACTTGGTTACACCACTGGCAGGATGAGTGTTGAACAGAACACACACATGCTATCAAGCACATTTTTCTGGCATCGCTGCTGTCTGATATCGAGATTGCGTGTTTGTCTGTCTGTGTGTGACTAGTTGTGTATAGCTGTCTGTCTGCATGTGTGTTCTGGGAAGCCAGAGGCAGGGAAGCACTGAAACAGGGTGTATTTGTGCTGTGTTGTGGCCCCTGGCATGGCCGCAGCCCCCCGATATCACGAGGCAGACACTCCTGCTTCCACAGATCTACAGCACGTAGAATGGACACACTGATCTTTTCATGTTCAATCAGCTTTGTTTGTTGAGAAGAAAGACTTAAAAAGACACATTGTTCACATGATTAGCTTTAATCTGTCAGCAGTGAGTGTGTCTGGTGTCTATATGTGAAGTATTCAATGCGTCAAGAAATCAGATGACACAAGCCCTAAAGAATAATGTTTTCTCACTTTCTACACGTGGGCAGGCATCGTAAATCTGATATTATCTGATCAGCCTACAGTACGGTGTAGATACTTGTCCACACACACACCACACACACAGTACATGAATGAATTGAAAGTTCACATGTATTTATGCACACACACACACACACAAAAAGAGAAAAGAAGTGGACACAAATTTGGCCAGAGGCGACAATGCAATTATAACTTAGTGCATGAAATTAGCCTCCGTGTGTTCCCATTCCACACAACCAATCACATGGACAAGGGAAGGCTGGGAAAAAATCTGTCTCGTCTCTCTCTCTGCTGAGTCGTCCCAGCATTAAACACAATCCTGTTCATTATGCGCTGAAAAAACTGTAATGAAAAAATGAAAATGCTGGCGCCGCACTGATTTTGCACGTCTGATTGACTATTAAGTGTGTGTGTTCTTGTTAGACATACTCTATATATTATACAGTAGCCATATTTGTGACCATAACATAGGAGAATAACTGATAAATGATAGGGTTCTTTCTGTCAGGGTGGCCTGTTCTTTCAGATAAATAAATTATAGCCACTGAAAAATGACAGATTTTGTGAACCACTAAAACAAACATGCAGCCACTCCCTCATTTTGATGTGGATTTGCAAGTTTTATGTAAAAAAAGAAAGACTTCAGGGAATTTTTGCTATTGATGGCATTACTGGTTTAAATGTTTGTGTATGTCGACTGCTACACTGTGGAGCTCTTTGCCTCTTTCAAGAAAGGGAAAGTAACTTAAAATGTTTTTTTTTCCTTTTCCGTTTATTGTTTGAATTGATGCAGAGAACATGTGAAAAAAGCCGCAAAGCATTTTTTTTACTTCAGTGTAATGTGACAGAAATCCCAGGGTCCTAATTCACTGCCCTGGTTGGCAAAATGAAAACACTTTTTCAGATCATTCAGATCTTTCTTTCCTAAATGTATACAAAGCATTTTGGAGGATATATATATAGTTTCCAGTTAGTGCTATTCCTCCAGCGATCTATTCTCTCCCTCGCTTCCCTGCTCCTCCCTTCTCTCTTCCTCTCCTCCTCTTTTATGGCCTGCCTATGGTGTTCAGCACAGTCCATGTCTTGTCTCAGTCATGAACAGCACATTGTCCTCCACGAACAAGGCTCCGTGCAACTGTGATCCCCCCCCCCCCCCCACTCTAATATAAATCAACACACTCCCCGAGTTCACATTTATCCAATTTATTCATTCTATATATTTAAACAGGTGGCTCGACTTTAACTGTTCTCAGCTGGCTCCTCGACGAAGGGCTGCAGTCAGTAGTTTATATTTAAACACCCGGCTTAAAGTCAGTTTGGGTTGTCTTTCCCACAACTGAACTGTTGTTGGTCATGCATTCGTGTGTCATGTTTTCTTCAGACAAAAATAAAATAGTCTCAGTGTATGGTAATTTCAGTGCAAACTGTCTTGTTTCAACTGATTTCAAAAAGAGTGACAGCCTCTAATATCAATGTGATGAGGCTTGATTGAAAAAAAGAACATATGTTGAATTATCTATGAGTATCTGTACCTTTCACTGGCAGGTATTTTTACATGTAAGATTTAAAAGACTAAAAGATTAAAATAACTAAATGGTAAAAATTAGATGAAATCCCTTGCTGAGGTGGCAATGTGTGATTTGGAGGAAGTTCCTGTTCCTGGGTTAACCTGGTAGCCAAAAGGATAGAACCTAGAAGGCTTTCTGTACTTTTCTCATAATCATAAAATATTATGCAGTGGCAAACTTAACAGAACTGTACCAACTGCAGTAAGGATAAAAGCAAACAGCAGCAATACAGACAAGAGACTTTACATTCTCTTGTCTGTATTCCATCGGGTTAACGTTACATATTCCCCACTCGCTGATTACATATGCAGCAGGGTGAAAGGGGGGCCATTGCCACGAATATATTTGTGTAAGAGGCTGCCTAATTACCAGAGCTGGTTCTCCACTTCACTTAACTTTCTAATTGGCTTGCCTTTTTGGCTGCCATTAATTACAAGATTTCATATTCCATTAATGATCGGGGGGAGAGAGGCACGTTAACACGCACACACTCACAGATTCTTACAATATACATCCAGATAGACATACACACAGGCACATACTGACACCTACGCACCAATGAGCATGAGCACACATCTAATTTTCTACCTCTCATTACGCAGTATGGTATTGTGTGTGTGCAACCTGTGCCCTACAACAACTCTTTCTTTACTAAAAGGCACATCAAACCCTTTTTTCAACATCAAGAAGCTTCATTAAACAATTTGTGGTCAGCCTTTTCTCATAGATGTTGTGTTTCTCTCCTGCAGCATCCATACCCGTCAGAAGAACAGAAGAAACAGCTGGCACAAGACACCGGCCTCACCATCCTACAAGTGAACAACTGGTAAGTGATTTCAGAGTTTATATGCAGTCGATTTCAGGGGGTTTGTACCCCCAGGCTATCCAAGTTCTTAATGATCGGAATTAATGCCTCCACTCCACCCCTATTTTCATCCTACACACACACACACAGAAACACACACACACCACTTACCGAATCATCCTCACCTAGATCAATCCATCTAAAGAGATATGGCCTGGAGTGATTTTCCAAACCAACAGCCTAACTCAGCCCAAACACGAGCATCCATGTTAATTAAGAGTCAAACTACCATCTGAAAACATCCAATAAAATCATCCAACATGCAAGTTGGATGATTTTATTGGATGTTTTCCCATTTATACAAGAATGATTACTAAAAAGTGGTAGCTCTGAGACTAATTATAGGGTTTTACTTTGAATGACTTATTTTGGGGTTTGTGGCTTTTTGTAGCACCTTACTGTGATTAACATTGGTTTTAATCAGTCTGTGAAAATCTCATTTAACATTCAGTAAAATTTTTACATTTATTACAAGTTTATTGTCCTTGAAGCTCGCTTAAAGTTTGTTTCACCTCTCCCAGAGATAGCCATGATGATAATGACAGATTCTTACTCTAAATGACATTTTAAAAGATATTGAAATAAAATAAAAAACACTTAAATTAAGCCACCAAAGAGAAAAAAAGAAAGGAAAATTCCCCACGTGTCACTACTTTTTGTCTTTACGTTATAGTAGCAGCTGTGCATTATCCTCTAATCATTATTCTGTTAAAAATCCCTTTATTGGGTACTATTTAATACTTTTTCACAATACACCTAGCATTTTAAATTGTCGTTGTTAGCAAGGAGCCTAGCTTAGAAGTGCACAGCCCAGTTGCTCTCCTGCCTTTGCAAATTAATGCTCTGTAAGTGCCAACTAGCCTGTTAATTGGGCACAAGCGTGACTGGCCTGCACCATAAAATAAGGTTGCTAACTAGCCATTTTAACCTTAGGTAGCACCGTAAAAAGGTAGAAAGGGGCCCAATGTCCTTGTGCGGCTAGTCTTATCAGAGAGATGGCTATCAGCACATGCTTAGTGTTATTAGCCATGTCTAATTAAAGGGGCTGGAGTCTGGGTAACTGAGGCAGGGTCCAGGCAGAGGGTGTTTGATCTGAGCGGCCCTTAAAATAATCCTTGAAAGTATCAGTCAGTTGCTAGGTACAGACATGAAAGTGGAGACTGCAGAAAGGCAAAGAGCAGCAAAAGGAGGGAGAGAGTAAAAGAGCCAGATGGAGTGAAAAATAGATGAAAAGAAAGAGAGAAAGATAAGGAGAGAGGGAGAGAAAGAGATGAGACATGATAAATCCCCATTACCAGCAGTCTAATGATGTTAACATTATTCCCAGCCATTGTTCAATCTCAGACCTCAGAGACAGACAGACGTTAGATTAGGGTATGGTGTATCAGTCTATGGAGAATTCATTTTATACCGGGCCAAAAATAATGTGCGTGTGCACACACACACACACACACACACACACACACACAGACACACACACACACACACACACACACACACACACACACACACACACACACACACACACACACACACAAACACTCTGGCAGAAAAGGCCTCTTGACCAGAGGGAATCCTGTAGAGGTTATCAAATCACATGACCCTCCTGAAATCCATGGGGGATCAATTCTTACAGCTGAGATAAAGCCAAGCAGTGTGTGTCTGTGTGTGCTTCTGCGTGCGTGTCTGTGTGTGAGAGAGAGAGAGAGAGCGAGAGAGAGTCAGACAGACAGTCACATGAACAGTAGCTTGGTCACTTAAGGCTCACTGTGTGCTCTCATTCTGTTTGTTGTTTTTATTGGTAGGGGGATAGCAACACACCCTGAAGGTGTGTGTGCGTGTGTATTTGTGCATGACCAACACACACTGTGTAAATCGTGGGAGGTTAATCTTGGTTTGTGGAAGATGTTGTGTGCAAGTGTGTGTGTGTGTGTGTGTGTGTGTGTGTGTGTGTGTGTGTGTGTGTGTATAAGAGAGGAACCGGGGGTGGTTAATCTAAGGGGTATTAGCTGTTAAACCCTGCATGCTGGGATCCCGCTGCCCCCTCACATTTCGTTGTATACAATGTGTGTGTGTGTGTGTGTGTGTGTGTGTGTGTGTGTGTGCGCTTGTCCAGAGGCATATTTCCATGCATGGTTGTTTGAACGAGCAAGCAGTACATTGTAGCATGGAAGGGTGATTGAGAAGGGAAACAATAAAGTGAAAAGACGGGGTGACGGAGAGATGAAGACAAAGAAATGGGGAGAAAGATAGAATGAAGAGGTAGAAGAGGAGAGGTGGAAATAGAGGACAGAAACAAAATGTGACAGTGAAGAGAGAAAGACAATCACAGAGAAACAGAGAGAGGTTACGTTAGGGGAACTGCCATTTCGCAGGCGTGTTGTTGTGCTGGTTGGGAAGCCCCGTCATTGGGTGTCTCCATAGCAACCCCCGGTGATGTTACCTCCTGACCCACTGATTTGGTGAAGTCAATTTCCCTAGCTGTGATTCTGTTTGTCAGTGCTGTTCATGAACACACACTTGCTCACACACACGCACACACAAATGCGTGCATGTCTAAATTCTCTGAGTTACACACACACACACACACACACACACACACACACACACACACACACACACACACACACACACACACACACATTTTCTCATGCATTCACTTGCACCAAATCAGGTCTACAAGTGTGACATCAAGCCAAAGAGGACTTCAAGAAGCATAAAACACTTAGTGGAAGTGTGTTTCACGGTCATACCCTGGTCATCGGCAGTGGATTCAAGTCCAATGCCCGCAGATGAACTGTGGGTCATCCATGTTTGTTGTCCCACTAGGGGAAGACCTAGCAATGACAAACATGTACAAACGACAAATAAAACATACAGTTCAATTTTGTTGCACACTCTGCCTTCCTCTCTCATCTTTTCCTTCACATATGTACTCACACACTATCTTCCACACACCCACATTCTGTCTCCCTCTCTCTCTCCCTCTCACGCACTCACACACACCATAGACGTGTTAACACACATGTCGGTGTGTATTATTGATGAGCGAGCACGCGGTAGGGCTCTGCAGATTAAATAAAAATGCTAAAGGCCGGCAAGGGGCGCAGATCACTCATGAATTATTGGCAGAAATACGCTGCACCAGGGAATCTCAATTTGAATGGAGAAAGTATGCGTGTGTGTGTGGGTGGCAATGCATGTGCACATTTACACAGCAGAATCATATATTGAGAACATACACACATACGATACACACCCAAATGCAAATACTCGGACACATCCCTATAGTAGCCTATACAGCATATACACACACAGACGTCCTAGACAGGTATGGTATATATGTACAGTACACACAGTGAATGAGTGTATTGTGTCCACACGCCCATACAGCAGACACATACGGAGAAGTCACCACATAACATTAACAAACACACACTTAACTCAAACACTGATGCTCACACAGTAAAATGCTCAACAGTGTTTTTTTTTAATGAATACACAAACCTGCTAAACGCTATTTTGATGGATCCATGTTCATTAAACATATTGTGATATCAGCAAAATTATAATTTGATAATAACTATAATCAGGATTGTAAAATCCTGAGTAATAAATTAAACGCAGAATGTGTTTTACTTCTCTGTTTGTATTCCTGAATACATTTTTAAGACATGAAAGATTATATCATTCAGTAGATTTAACTATTAAAAGCTCATTGTAGTTTGAAGTCAAAAAAAGAAACAAAATTCTGTTGTAAAGCCAACTGATACTGTAGAGTTCAGCCTAAGAAGCCTCAGAAATATTGTGGGACAATTGTGTCTTTGAAAATATAATTTTTCTAACAGAACCATTGAAATTTCTGTTTGTCCTATGAAGGTATTTATTTCATCTTATTTCATTAAGCTCTGAAACTTTCTCAAAATGAACTGCTGTCCCTCATAAGCCCCTGTAGACGTGGTGTATGATGATGAAAGTACACAGCCTGAAGCAAAAGACATCATCTCTACTTAAAATCAAACAAATCTTAGAGGCAGTGCAGTTATGTTAATTAAAAACTCAAAATAATTCCCCCCCAAAAGAACCCTTAAGTTTGTTATCCTAAATAAATCTGGACCAGAAGGGCCTCAGAGCTGGATTACCGGAACTGTCCATTCGGAGGCATAGACATTGTCACCTGACATCCTCACATGTCATGACAATAAAAATAGTTTGTGATGTGAACATAGGATATATATGGAACAGTAAAGGAAGAAATCAAAAAGTAATCAGATCAGGAAAGTAATCAGTTTGTCCCAGATTTCAGTCTATCAATAGCCACAGTATCTAAATGTCCTTGAACAATACAACCCTTTACCTGCACACATTGTAAACCACTCTGAATCGTGCATCAGCTAAAAGCTCAAAGTGTAACATATAAAATGTCTTTCTCTCTCTACTTTCTCTTTCTCTGGCTACAGTCAGTATCTCTCTGCTAAGTTCTTCTAACGCTCCGGTGATGTAAAAATCGATGGCGAGGTCATCAGGTTTCCCTTGTTGGCTGCCCCTCCCCTTCCTGCCTGCAATTTAATAATGCCCCTTTAAAGGCAGTGTTTAAGCCTTGCCGAGCGATTGTTTTGTCAATAAGACCTCCTTTTACGAACGTCTTAAAAGCATGGACAGGGAGAGAGTGAGAGAGAGAGAGAGAGAGAGAGAGAGAGAGAGAGAGAGAGAGGGAGTGAGAGAGGTAGTATTTAAGAGGGCAGAGTGGACGGACGTTGAGGCTACTTAGGAAGGAGCGGCGTGGCACATACATATATGCTGCTTATCAGGTTTCAGAAAGGATGAGCAGAGGAGAGGAAGAGGTGACGGAAGGGGAAGGAGAGCAAGTGAGAGGGGGAGGAAAATGACGTGGGACGGGGTGGGAGAAAAAAGAACATGAAAACATGGATGAGAAGAAGGAGACGCAGCAGTTCATTTTC